ACACATTATTGGAGTAGTGGTGGCGCAGAGGTTAGAGAAGGTGGGCCTGTGATCGAAGATCGCCGGTTCACGCCCCGGCACCGACAACATAAAAAATGTGGGTGAGGTAGGTGAAGCACCCACACTTGCCCCCACCCTCATTCGCCCCACTTTGGGCCCATGAGCAAGGTCCTTAACCCTCACCTGCTCCCTAAACAACCCTCACCTGCTCCCTAAACAGGTCTCTCTTGAAAATGAGTTCTTGTGGCTCAATGAGACTACCTGTATAAATAAAGGCTAAATAAAAAAATAAAATAAAATACATGTCCTGTACCAATATAACGTGTCCTGCTGTCCTCGTACAATGCCACACCTTCTTCCTCAGCACCTTCAGATGATGTTTATAAATCCACAGACACAATGACATTCTTTCTGATCCTCTCTGTACTTCCCCATCAGGATCCTCAAAGTAAAGATGGCATCTGCGATGCTCTTTCTCGGCATGAAACCATTCTGCTGCTCACAAATAGTCACCTCTCGTCTACAGTAAGTTTTGCTTCCACAACTCTCTCCCAGATCTTCATTGTGTGTCTCATAAACATATTTCCCCTGTAGTTGCTACAACTCTATACATCACCCTTATTCTTAAAATTAGCCACCAGCACACTTCTCTACTCCTCAGGGATTTTCTTACTCTTAAAAATACCATTGAATGAGTCGTAAAACTCACAGCCATGTCTCCTAGACATTTCCAAACCTCCACTGGCATGTCATCAGGTCTTCCTGCCTTCCAATTCATTATTTTCAGAGTTTCTGAATTTCAACCTCATTGATTTTTCCTACTTCCTGGTCCACAGTTTCTATGACCTCTAATATTCTTTCTTTTCTCATGGGCGGCTGTAGCTGAGTGGTTAGAGCAGTTGTCCTCCATTGCAAGAGTTGGGGACTCAAATCCACCAGAAGTCATATGCCGAAGTGCCCCTGGGCAAGATACTGAACCCCTTGTCACCTCCAATGTGTGTCCCATCGGTGTATGAATGTGATAAAGCACTGATTAGTCTCTTTAGAATGATTTGTTCATTAGCTTTGTATAGATCTAGTAGAGTGCTGTATGAATGGGTAAATGAGGCATTGATTGTAGTGTAAAGAGCTTTGAGTGTCTTGATAAGATAGAAAGTTTCTATACAAGTACAGTCCATTTACCATTTCTCCTCATTCAATAGCTCCTGACTAACATTTTAGTTTTGGTAAGTGGTATGTCCTTCCTGATAACCTTCACAATCTACCTGGGGCTTGAGACAGACACAAGAGATACAGTATAATGGATTTTTCCATCTTCTTTTTCAAGTCTTGCGGACTGAAGTCAATTTGCTCTTCAGGAAGTGAGATTATGACAAAGTGAAGATTCAGCACATTCTGCTAATTTCCTTAGATAATTTTTACGGATTGGTATTTTAAAATATATGTGAATGTTTTTCTACAGATGACTTCTGTAGTGAATTGGCACTATTTAAATAAATTAAATTGAATGGAGTGATTTGCACTTCTTACATTCTGTTCACAGAGCAGTTTCAGGTCATCTCTTTGTGGAGAACTCCCAACTCCCCACTGAGCCTCCAGGACCTCCAGCTGAGTGATGTGTCCTTCATCAATAGTTGCTGCTGAGTCCACAGTGAGATCTTTCACCCTGACAAAAACAATACTGCTGCTCAAAAAACAGCTGCATGTAGAGGTGCAGAATAAAAATACATGTGTTGATGTCGGGGGGGGGGGGGGGGGGCATGATTATCACACAGATAACGTACATGCGGAGGGATGAACAATGACAATGTAGAGAATTAAACTTTTGGAAAGTAAGTAATCCTACTCATATGTAGGAGAGAGTTCAGAGCGACCTCCTCCTTCTGAGCTCTGAGAGAAAGGAATGTCTGAAGGACTTATTCCAAACTCCTTTACTCTGCAGACAAAAACAAAACAAAACACAGAAGAAGAAAAGACAAGATCAGGAGAATTAAAAAAAACATATAAACTTGAAACAACATTCAAAACCCTGATTTTTACATGAGTGATTAGAATAATTGACATTCTCTGATGAATTGCAATGTGGATACTGTAGTGTGTTGAAGAAGCTGGAACTGAGTTGGTAACGCTAACAAGCAGAACAGAAGCTAAAATTAGCAAAACTATTTCTGAAACAATCAGAACAAAAGCTAAACATGAAAACACAAGCTAATTGAGCAGAACAGTGGAAAGCTTAAACAAACCAGACAATTGCTAACACCTAAATTGAGCCAAAAGCTAAGTTAGCAAAACTAACATTAAACTGCAACATTAAACACTAAAAGCTAAAATTATTACAATAGTAGCTAAAAGCTAAAACCAGCAAAATAGTAGTTAAATGATAAAACCAGCCAAATAGTGAAAATACAGTAGCTAAAAGCTAAAACTACCTAATCTATTAGTAAACCTTAAAATCAGCTGAATGTTAGCCAAAGGCTAAACGCAACAAAACAGTACCTAAAAATATCAAAACATTAGTTAAGAAATCTAGTGAAATGTTAAAAGTTAAAAATGCTAAAAGTTAAAATGACCAGAACACTAGATTATAGCTGGAATTAGCTACATAATATCCAGTAGCTAAATGTTAAACGAGCTGACCAAAAGCTAAACTGAGCAAAACAAAATGTGAAACAACCAGAACACAAGCTGAACAAGAAAACAAGAATTTATCAGAACAGTAAAATGCTAAAACAAGGTGAACAATAGCTGAAAGCTAAAATGTGCAAAACAACAAAAGCAAAGTTAGCAGAACTTTGCAAAAAGCTAGAATTTTAAAAATAGTACCTAAAAACTAAAACCAGCAAAACAGTAGCAATCCATCCATCCATTATCTTTACCCGCTTCTTCCATTTTGGGTCACGGGGGTCGCCGGTGCCCATGTCCAGCAATCATTGTGTGAGCAGCGGGGTACACCCTGGACAGGTCGCAAGTCCATCACAGGGCCACATAGAGACAAACGAGACAAACAACCATTCACTCTCTCACTCACACCTAGGGACAATTTAGAGTTACCAATCAGCCTAACATGCATGTTTTTGGTCTGTGGGAGGAAAACGGAGTACCTGGAGAAAACCCACGCATGCACAGAGATAACATGCATACTCCACCCAGAAAGGCCCCCGAACCGGGATTTGAGCTGAGGACCTGCGCGCTGAGAGGCAGCAGCTCTACCAGTTGCGCCACCGTGCTGCCCAACAGTAGTAATACAGAAGCTAAAAGTTAAACTTTGATAACCTATTGGTAAACTGTCAAATCATCAATGGTAGCAATGGTAGCTAAAGGTTAAAAATAAGAAAACAGCTGTTAAAAAAATATATCTGGCAGAACTGTAGAAAAAAAGCTAAAATCACAAGAACAGGAGCTAATAGCTAAAATGAGTTGCACGTTTTCTAATAGCTAAAAGCTAAAATGATCAAAACAGGACCACAAAGCTAAATAAGCTGAACTTAGCTAAAAGCTAAAATTATTAAAATAGAAGTTTAAAACTAAAACCAACATAACAGTACAGGTAGTTAAATGTTAAAATTAGAAAAACTGGCATAATACGGTAGCTAAAAGCTAATCTATAGGTAAGTAAGTTTCTTTTGACCAATTAATTTTAATGGGCCACCACATCAAGCAAACTCTCATGAAAGATTTGGCTTTTTGTTTTTCACCAGCTGCCTTTCCTGACAACCTGGGCTTGAACCCACAACCAAAAATGTGGCACTGACCCCTGACTGCAGCCCCAAGCTAATCTAAAAAGAAAAAAATCAGCTAAATGGTAGATAAAAGCTATCCATCCATCCATCCTCCATCCATCCATCCATCCATTTTCTTCCGATTGTTCCTAAGTCAGGCCACGGGAGCTAAAAGCTCAAACTAGCAAAACAGTAGCTAAAAGCTAAAATATCTAAACAGTTGCAGAAATTAATGAAGCTAGCAAAAAAGTATCTAAAACATAAAATGAACAAAATATGAGCTATTAGCTAAAGTAAGCTACATGTTATCTTGATGCAAGCTCAGTAATCCAGGTAAACAAATCTAATAAGGTTGAGTAAGGTCCACTGGATGGATTCTTTTTGTTGATACGCTTCGTATTTTAACCAAAAGACTTTTTCAGTCTGAGGAGCTGGAACAAAATCAGTCTTATAAATACCACCTTCTCATAGTGGATTAACTAGTTTGCTGGCGATAGCCAAAACTAGTTGTTTGCATGCAAAAGGAGGACCATCAGCCTAACAATTGATCATTAGTACCATAATAGCTGCTTGCTATTTACAGAGGACTGAGTGATACTTGCAATAACAGCATTGTAAGAGGGGGACAGTTGAAGACGGAAGCCTTCGCCCCTGTTTAATGATGGACGGGTTTTCTTCACAAAGATGGCCTCCTTCACTCCTCTCTCAAACCATCGTTCCTCTCTATCAAGGATGTGAACATCTTCATCCCTGAAAGAGTGACTGCTGACCTGCAGATGAGTGTAGACCACAGAGTCCTGGCCTGATGGTGTTGTTCTTCTGTGCACCCACCAGAAAAACCACAACCAGTGGCTGTTGAGTTTCCTCGATGTAAGATTGAGCACAGCCCTCCTGACACTGAACAACATACAATATTATTATTGTTGGGCCAGGGAACTGGATCTTTGGGATGAACCAGTTTTTGCCATAATCTATTATGAGGTTTGAAAGCCACTGGGATGTTATGTTTAGAAAATAAAAGTCTCAGTTTCTCTGAAACTCCCAACAACAACTCCCGCAACATAAGGAATGACCACTGGTGTAGGTCTGAGATCCTCCTTTTCACCTGATGGTTGGCTGGAGTCCTGTTTGGGTTTCTTCTCTGCTTTCAGGAAGGCCCAGTTAGGATATCCACATTGCTCCAGGGCCTGTCTTGTGTGGGATTTCTCCTTTTGCCTGGCTTCAGAGGTAGTGGAGATGCTGTCTGCTCTGTGGTACAGAATCCTGATGACTCCTAACTTGTGCTACAAAGGGTGATGGGAGTCAAACTGCAAATACTGGTCTGTGTGGGTGGGTTTGCGGTACACCTCAGTTTTCAAATGTCCTGAGACCTCACAGTCCAGGAGAGCAAACCTACCATTTTTTACATCTTGTCATGTTAACTTTATATATTTATCCACAGATTTCATGTGGTCAGTAAAATGTTGGGCTTTCTGAGATTTAATTTTAACCCAGGTGTCGTCAACATACCTGAACCAATGACTTGGTGGTGTCCCTGAAAAGGACATCAAGGCTCTCTTTTCTACCTCCTCCATGTACAGGTTGGCAACAATAGGAGAAACTGGAGACCCCATAGCACACCCATGTTTCTGCCTATAATATTGCTCCCCATATGTGAAGTAGGTTGACTGCAGGCACAGTTTCAAGAGTTGACACAGTTGTTCTGTGGAAAGTGTGGTCCTGCTGCTCAGAGTGGTGTCTGATTTTAATTTTAAACTGACCACCTCTATTCATCATCAACAGGAATGCACGTAAAGAGTGATGTGACATCAAAAGAGACCATTGTTTCATCAGTCTCCATGATGACATCCCTCACCTTATCCACAGTCCATGGTGTTCTGTATGTGGTGTTCTGAGCTGCCAACTAAAGGGATGAGTACAGACGCCAGATATTTGGAAACATTGTAAGTGACAGAGTTAATCAAGATAACAATCGGTCTTAAAGGTACACCTTGTTTGTGAGTTTTAGGTAAACCATATAAACTATGTGTGGCTTCTCCTTGGTACAGTCCACGCAGAATACGGTCAATAGACTTGTCCTGCTCTAAATGTTTCAGGAAACCTATCAACTTCTTCTTGTAACCACTTCCTGGATCTCTTTTTAGCAGCTCGTAAGTGGTTAAGTCACTACGGAGTGTCATAACTTTCTCATGATGGTCTTTCTGGTTCAGTATCACTGTAGACCTTCCTTTATTTGCTGGGAGGATGATGATGTTTTTGTCCTTGCTAAGAGTGGTGAGTGCAGCCCTCTCTTCGCTGCTGATGTTGGAAGGTGGTGGTTTAGCATTGCTGATGCAGGCTGAAACTTTGTTCCTGAGTTGTTCTGCTTCAAACTCTGTAATTTTGTTGTTGCGGATGGCTGATTCTGTGGCTGTGATCATCTCCACCACAGGAATTCTTTCTGGCGCAACAGCAAAGTTCAGTCCCCTGTCAAGGATCTCTGTTTCCGGCTGGGTGAGCTGCCTGTTGGACAAATTTTACACCCATGTTTCTGTCTCCCTGGCATGTTACTGTATACCGGTTTGTTGTCTCCCACTGAGTGTGTTTTTATTGGAATTGGGATGGGCTTCACGAGATGCCAGTAAATTAAACTTCTTTTGTTGTCGGGCCTTGGACTTGACATGCTGTGCTTGGTGTGCCTTATCTTTAAAATCCATCACTTGCTGAAATGTGGTCTGATCTGGACATGTTATTATTTTTTGTCAGATGTGTTCTTTTTTGGTCTCTAAAGCCTCAATGTTAAAATTGGTCTGTCTCACCTGTTCATTCAGTAGCTGGGTCGTGCCTTCTGTATGATCGTTTGCTTGGAAGATTTGAGTTTCAGGCTCTTGGGAAAGGTGCCACTCTGTCTGCATTGGAAGTTGAATCTCAGGTGGTTCCTGTAGTCTGTGCTCTTCCTTGCTGTTTGCTCAAACTCTCAAGCTAGTTTGAGGCAATCCTGGCCAAGGTGGTTCAAAATATCCTGATACATGCTCAAAAAGCCAGGTAAGTAGTTGGATCTTCTGAACGGATTTTTCTTGTTCAGACCTGGGCATTGTATGGCTCACCGGCCACACACTATGACCGACCCATGTAAGGTTAATTGAGAATTACAGAATAAACATATTTTCTAATTTTACTCAGCATTACTTTCATTTTGAAATTGTTTTTAAATGATGTATAAAATGATGCAATATATATGCACATGATTGAATTATTGTCACAAGCAGGTTATAAAACGACATTAGCCCTCACAAATGTCCACTTACGCTAAAAAGGTAGATGCTGAGTGCAGGGTTTACAAAAAAATGGACTGCTAAATATTTATTAACTTAAGTTGGAGGTAAAGCTGTGTGTTTAGTTTGCAGCTAGCTGATTGCCGTGTTTAAGGATTACAATTTGAGTCGGAGTTACGAGACGAAACATGCAGAGAAATACAAAAACTTGATTGACGCTGAAAGGGCATGGACATCAGAAGCTTCGGTAGCTAAGCTACAAAAGCAGCAAGGCTTTTGTACCAAGCTTCACACATCCAGGGATGCAGCAACCAAGACTTGCTTTGTGGTATCCCACAAAATCATTAAAAACAGTAAGCCATTCTTGGAGGGGGAGCTTGTCAAAGAGTGCTTGGTGGTCTCTGCAGTGCTAATATGCCCTGCAAAAAAATAAATAATTTGAGCAAGTTCCACTGTCCAGGCGAACCATGACGAGAAGGATCGGGGGCATTGCGAGGAATCTGGAACTTCAGCAGCCATTGTGCTTGAAAGTCATTTTATCTTTCAACTCGTCTTAGTTTTTATTGGTGTATTTGGGATTTCATAGCTCTTGCTAGTGTTAGCTTAGCATGGCTTCTGGTTCTCTCCCAACTTCCTCTGTTTTCACTTCCTCTGTGTGTCAGATGTTTAGCTACTCCTCTGCCTCCTTTAGAGGTAATTATACATGTTATAAATGCAGTCTTATGGTAGCTTTGGAGGAGAGGCTGTCTGAACTGGAAGTTCGGCTCTGTGCTGTAGAAAATCCATTAGCTAGCCATGTCCCCTTAGACAGCACAGAACCACTGAAATTAGTTCCCATTAGCAGTCCTCCAGCAGACCCTGAACAGCCGGGACCCCAGCTCGGCTGGGCGGCGGTCCGAAGAAAGCGTAGTGCAAAACAAAGCCCCAGTTCACCACCGACCCAGTCACATTTCTAACAGATTTTCCTTGCTCAGTAACGCACCCGCTTAAAAGCAGACCCTGGCTACTGGCAGCTCCATAGTCCAAAACGTGGCTTTAGGGTCTCCAACTATAGGCTATAGGGAGGTACTGCAATATTATTTTTTGTGCAAACATTGATATTAACTTGAAAAAATGGTGCCACAGATTTACAGGACAGAAAATATATTTGTGCTTAAAATAAAGGAATGAAGTTATGATAAATTTACACTAGTAAAATTAAAGGGGTTAGGAATAATTATTTTGTTTAAAATAATTATTATTGTTTAACTGTACTTTTCTCTTTTAGAATTATTATTATTATTATTATTTTTACCTGTTGGCATATCTCAGAGTATTGAGTGTGTTTTCGCAAGATGCCATTCCAGGAGAGATGGTGGCAATCTGTGAATGGAAAGATCACAAAGTTAACCAGACAGTGTATCAGAAACCTTTTCAGCATCTATTCATGTCAGTTCTGCTCTGGTCTACAGCAGCAGCATCTGTGGTTTCTATCTCCAGGGGTCATTGTGTGAGATGTGGGGTACCCCCTGAAGAGGTCACCACTCCCTTACAGGGACAGACCACTGGTCTCCCTCACACCTAGTAACAATTTAGGATTACCAGTTAGCATAATCTGTATGTTTTTGGTCTGTGGGATGAAACCAGTGTACCCGAGGGAACCCACAGATGCACACAGAGAACATGTAAACTCCACACTGAACGGCCGCAGTGGAGTTTTGAGCCTGCAATCTGGTTGTTGTATGGCAACAGCTCTAACCACTGCGACCCATGCCACCCAACAAAAGGCTAGTGACAGAGTTTTTTTCTTACCATACATGTTCTGGAGTTTTCTCCTATGAAGGAGTCCCTCAACACTTGAGTTAACTTGCTGGCTCTGAACGGAGTGTGAGGTTTGTTTCTCCCAAGGGCCCGGATGCATTCCTGCAAGAACAGAACATAGCTGGTTCACTCAGTTATTTATGCCTCTAAATTTTTATAGAAAACAGTGTATTTATTAGAATTTTCACAGTTTGAGATCCATTGACAAAAACCATTGAGTTTGTGTTATTTGTATTAACAGCAGCACTTGGTAGATGTCTATATTATGGGTGGCTGTGGCTGGGTGGTTACACTGGAGTTTAACCACTGGACTGGAGCATTTAGGAGTAACAGCCTTTTGATGTTAGAAACATTTTGGGGGCTCCAAATGGATACTTTGAAGAACACGAGGATATACAGTACCATGAGAAAAACATGTCCAGAATAATTATTTTACTGCTTTTGTTATCAAATTTGAACTGGAACTTGTCATAATCTGCGTGTTTTGTGGCGTTTGGGAATACTTTTGATTATTTTATTTACAGTAGTTCTTTGTGATGTGATCTGTGTTTTCTGTTGTTTTTTTTGTGTTTCATTTATCTCTATTTCCCTTGTGATTTATCTGTATGTCTTCTGATCCTAGTGTTTTGACTCCTTGTTTCCGTGCTACTCATCACTCCCTTCTTAGTCACTCTCTCCAGCCACTTATTACTCACACCAGTTTGTAATTACTCATCCCAGGTGCATTCATTATGCACTCGCCCGCTGTCTTACTTACTCTTCTGTTCACCACTCCATGTCAACATTATTCTGAACATCATTCAGACGTCTCGGTCCTCCCCGTGTTTCCCTCAATCTGCTGTGTTCTTGTTCGCTCCGTGATTAATGTAAGTTTTGCTGACACGTCAGCTTTTTGTTTTTGTTTATTAATGAATTCATCTTTATTTTACGTCCTGCCCCCGTGTCTGCCTGCACTTGGGTTTAACCGAACCGCGATACTCTGAGTCCGTTTTTCCTGTGTTTCCATCTTCCCCAGTGTTTCTCTCCTCTTGTTGCCAGCTTCTGCTCCTCCCACTCTCACCGGCTCCTGATTATCCTCCCCGGGTGTTTGTTATTCCCTCTATTTAGTTTTGGCCTTTAAATAATGTCTCATTCTGTTTGTCCCTCATCTATGGATTGTGCTTTCTCTGCCAGTCATGCTCTGCCCCTGTGTCTCCCTGAGTTTGCTATTGTTATAAGATTGCTGCCACATCAGCTCTTTGTTTTTTGGTTAAGTGAATATGTTTCATATTTTTACTCTCAAGTTCCTTGTATCTGTCGGCACTTGGGTTCAACACCTCAGATCTTGACAGAAATAGATAAGGCTTGGTTCTAAAGTCTGTTTTGATTTTCCAGTCAATACTTCTATTCCTCCAAGTGCAGCAGCAGAAAATATTTTTTTCTAAAAATCCAGACTTAGGAAATTATTTGCTGTTTGTGTCTTCCATCTTTATTTACTACATGCTAGTTGTAGTTACAATAACTTTGACTGCTGAAGGTAAAACTTCAATGTTACCTTTACAGACAGACCAAGCTATTGCTTGTACTCTAAAGAAATCAGGAAGAGCATCTGATTTATTTTGGGTCTCCTTTTTCCATGGGTCTTAGGCATTTTGAGCTGGAAAGTTTAATATTGTAATAATATTTTAAATTGCAATAAACACATGTATCTGACCTTTTGAAAGAAGAGGAATGAAAGTCAGCCATAGTAGGACAGAGTAAATGTGTATGAATGAAAAGGAAATAGGTGGAACAATGAAGCTACAAGGAGCAGTGGTCACAAAGGTGCAGGACTTCAAGTACTTGGGGTCCACTGTCCATGAAATTTTTGAGTGTGGTAAAGAGGAGAAAAAGGAGTCCAAGCAGGATGGAGTGGATGAAGAAATGTTTCAGGAGTGATAAAAGGGTGGCAGCAAAGGTCAAAGGAAAAGTTTACAACATAGTGGTGAGACCAGATATGTTTTATGGTCTGGAGACAGTGGCATTGACAAAAAGACAGGAGAAAGAATTGGAAGTGGCAGAAATGAAGATTTGGAGGTTCTCAGGAGAGACACACATGAATAAGATTAAGAATGAGACTATCAGAGGTACAGCTCAGGTTGACCGACTGAGAGCTAAAGTTAGAGAAGCCAGACTGAGATGGTTTGGACGTCAAGAGTAAGGACAGTGGATATATTGGTAGAAGGATATTAGAAATGCAACTTGCCTGTAAGCAATGGGCCTCCAATCCCATACCGACGGAGCACTCCCCACAGTGTACATCAAGAAACATGGTTGAAAGCCTTCTCCAAGTCCACAAAACACATGTAGACTGGATGGGCAAACACTCATGGCCCCTCAAGGACCCTAGTGAGGGTAAAGAGCTGATCCAGTGTTCCACAGCCAGGATGGAACCTGCATTGTTCCTCCTGGATCTGAGGTTTGACCAATGATCAAACTCGCTTCTCTAGTACCCCTGAATAGACCTTACCAGGGAGGCTAAGGAGAGTGATGCCCCGATAATTGGAGCACACCCTCCAGTCCCCCTTTTTGAAGTTGGGAACCACCACCCCAGTCTGCCAATCCAGTGGCACTGCTCCTGATGTCCCCACAACATTGCAAAGGTGCATCAACCAAGATAGCCCCAAAACATCCACAGCCTTAAGGAAATCAGGGTGAATCTCATCCACTCCTGAAGTCTGGCCACCTCTGAGCTTTTTAACTACCTTGGCAACCTCAGACATGATTATGAACAGACCAACCTCAAAGTCCTCTGACTCAGCTTCCTCCATGGAAGATGTGCTGGTGAGATTGAGAAGGTCTGAGAAATATTCCTTCCACCTCCCAATGACATCACTGGTTGCAGTCAACAGAACCCCACCTTCACTGAACACAGTGCAAGTAAAGTGCTGCTTTCCCCTCCTCAGCCACCTAATGGTTTGCCGGAATCTCTTCTGAACTGATCGAGAGTCCCTATCCAAGGCCTCACCAAACTCCTCCCACATCTGAGCTTTTTCCTCAGCAATAGCCAAGGCTACAGACCATTTGGCACTCCAGTAGTTAGCTGCCCCCAGAATCTCACTGGCCAACAAAGCCAAATAGGACTCCTTCTTCAGCTTTACAGACCCCCTAACCCAGGGTGTCCACCACTGAGTTCATGGATGGCCACCTTGTGAAGCACCAACAACCTTGCGTTCACAGCTTAAGGCAGCTACCTCAACAACTGAGGTGCAGAACATGGCCCACTTGGACTCAATCTCCCATGCCTCAGCTGGTATGTGGTGAAAGCTCTCCCGGAGGTGTGAGTTGAAGATATCTCTAATGGTTTCTTCTGCCAGGCATTCCCAGCAAACCCTCACTATATGTTTGGGTCTACCGGGTCTGTCTGGCATCGTCCCCTGCCATCTGATCCAACTCATTATCAGGTGGTGAACAGTTGACAGCTCAGCTCCTCTCTTGACACGAGTGTCACAAAACAAACAGCCACAAATCAGATGACACAACTAAAAAGTTAATAATCTATCTATGACCTAGGGTGTCTTGGTGCCAAGTGCACTTATGGACTCCCTTACGTTCAAACATGGTATTAGAGATGGACAAACGATGACTAGCACAGAAGTCCAACAACCGAACACCACTTGAGTTCAGATCAGAGAGACAATTCCTCCCAACCACACCCCTCCAGGTTGCACTATCATTTCCCACATGGGCATTGAAGTCCCCCAGAAGAGTAAAGGAATCTCCAGCTGGTGCCCCTTCCAGCACCCCTGCCAAGGACTCCAACTGCCATTTGGCACATAGGCACAAACAACAGTCAGAGCTCATCCCCACACCTGAAAGCGCAGGGAAGCCAACCTATCATCTACTGGGTAAAACTCCAACGCACAGGTACCAAGTTGGGGGGCTGCAATTAGACCCACACCAGATCGATGCTTCTCACCATGGGTAACTCCAGAGTGGAATAAGGTCCAGCCCCTCTCAAGGAGATTGGTTCCAGAGCCCATGCTGTGGGTTGAGGTGAGCCCAACCCTATCTAGTCAGTACCTCTCACCATCACACACAAGCTCAGGCTCCTTCCCCACCAAAAAGTTCCACATTCCATGTCCCAAAATCCAGCTTTTGTAAGCCAGGGTCATAGTGCCAAGGCCCCCGCCTCGTCCACTGCCCATGGCATCATGCACCTGACTTTTATGGCACCTTCTGCAAATGGTGGGTCCACAGGAAAGTGGCGCTACTGTATATCAAAATCAGAATAAGCTTTATTATCATTGTACTAAGATACAACGAGAATATGTCTGTACAGTCGTCCGAAACATGGGCGGAGTGCACTTAGCTGCTGCTATAAGCGCGGCCTTCTTATCCTTTTCAGAATACAATTTTTAGATAGAAAAAAGGGACAATGCCATGAGGAGAGGATAGTGGCATTACAAAAAAGATCTCTTCACACCTTGTCCTAACAGCACACGATTTAAGACATCAAAAATCTCTGCCAGCAAGCACATTTATGAACATGTTACATATGCATTTGACAACGTGGTGGTCCATGAAACACTTCCAGATAGTCCATTGTCCTGATAACATGATGGACAGCCGGCACAGTTCTGATAAGCCTCCACAGAAGAATGGGGGGGGGGGGGGGGGTGTTGCAATAAATGAAGCTTTTCCTTAGTTTACACATTTCCCAGAAGAAAATGATAAGTCGGCCTGTTCTGAGGCCAACTTGTAAATAAACCACAATTGTTGATTTATTCAGGCAGACTATTTTTTATTGTCAACCTTGAGTGTTACTGATACTTTCAAAATGACCAGATTAGGGTGCATTCTACTGGTCCGTGTTTATGAGCCTCTTCAAGGTTGTTTTCATGCTGACGAGAACCAAAGCCGCAGGTGGCCTGCGATACAAAGCACTTCCATCCTACGGTTTAACATGTAAATCAGCTGATTTTGAGTTCTCAAAGCACAATCCAACCTTTCACATATAGGCAGCAGCCTGACCAGGCCAGGTTAGCTGCGGCCGTCTTCTTTGTATGTTGATAAACCAGGATCCAGACTATTCCAAAACAGGAAATCTGTTATCATAAATCCAATTACTGTATATGTATTTTGGCGTCCTCGATCGACAGTAGAGGTAGACACATCGAGATATATCCAGCTGCACGTGTCATCCGAGCAGATGAGGGTTCTCAAAAACCCAGTCGCTTAGTTGAAAAGATTTTGTCATTTGCATCGAAAGTCCAGTTGGTCAGATCCAAAACAGTAGTTTTAATTTCAGAAGATGTGTAAAAATAGGAACTGCTCTGATGCACAGACAGAGAGCAAAAAAGCAGGAGAACAGGGAGATGAATTGGAATGCATGCGCCTCATTACAGAGCTAGTGAGAAAAAAATTTAAATAAAATTTATATATATATATATATATATATATATATATATATATATAAAACAGAATTTAATTGAATTTAATTTGCAAACTGATGTGTACCACAAACCCACGTACACAGACCAGTATTGGCAGTTTGACTCCCATCACCCTCTGGAGCACGTTAGGAGTCATCAGGACTCTATCACAGAGCAGACAGCGTCCCCACTAACTCAGGAGCCAGGCAGAAGGAGAAATCCAACACAAGACAGGCCCTGGAGCAATGCAGATATCCTAACTGGGCCTTCTTGAAAGCAGAAAAGAAACCCAAACAGGACTCCATCTAGCCATAAGGTGAAAAGAAGGAACCCAGATCTAGACCAGTGGTCATTCTGTTGCATGAGTTTCAGAGAAACTGAGACATTTATTTTCTAAACATGACATCCCAGTGGCTACATCCCAGTGGCTTTCAAACCCCAAAATAGATTAAGGCAAAGACTGGTTCATCCCAAAGATCCAGTCCCCCCAGCACAAACAGAATAATATTATATATGCTGTTCATGAGGGTTGGGATCAGTCATATAGCAGTGAAACTAAACAGCCACTGGCCAAAAGGATGTTCCAGCACAGAATAGCAACATCATCAGGCCAGGACTCTGTGGTTTACACTCATCAGCAGGCCAGCGGTCACTCTTTCAGGGATGAAGATGTTCACATCCTTGATAGAGAGACAAAATGTTTCAAGAAGAGCAGAGGACCTGACTTTACTTTGTTAAACCACCAAAAAGTTAAATCAGGTCATCTGGAAGGATTTTTCTTGGTTGAAACATGAAAAAAGTCCTGAAGTAACATCAGGACGTTTTTAAACCATTTTGGATGGGTTGTCTTTAGACTTTTTTGGTGGATAGCAAGTGGCCATCAGGACTCTAACGAATGATTGTTATGCACTGATGATTGACTAATAGACTGATGTTTCCCTTTTACATGTGAAAAGCTAGTTTCTGGAATTCCACAGCAGACTGACTTGAACCATCTTGAAAAGGTGCTATTTATATGACAGAGTTTGTTGGCAGGCCTCAGACAGATGAAGTCTTTCACATGAAAGACGAAGCGTTTCAACCAAGAAAAATCTGTCCATATGACCTGACTTGTCTGAAAACATTCACTACTGAAGTCCCTCAGCAATGTGGGACATCGGAGTACTGCTTGTTATTTCCTCATTTTGATATTCTTTGTTTAACCTATGTGTTTCTTGTGTTTTCCTTTGACACATGTTTTTAAGATCCCTTATGTTTAGTTTTTCAATCCCTCGATGTGTCATCAGCTTTTTTTTTCCTCAGTCAGTCCTACTCCTCAGCCCTCTTCATTCACTCAAACATGTCCCATGTTACTCATTAGTCTAGTCAAGTCAACTTTATTTATAGAGCACATTTAAAACAGAACCTGTTATCAAAGTGCTTAACAACAACAACAGGATCAGTGGCAGATTAGATTCACCTGCAATCATTTTCTCATCAGTCTCTATCTATATAATTTCTCAGTCCTCATTTCAACTTCAGTAAGTCAATTTGGTATCATACCCTGTGTGGTACTCCTTTGTGACCTGTTACTTTATTTTGCTGCCACTTCAGCTTTTTTTAATTGTTTTGATTAATAAAGCTGTTGTTCACATAATTCTTCAAGCAACTTGCTCCATAACCATGGATACTTTTTCTTCTTCCATCACTATCATCTAAACCAGGTGTAGTCATCAAGACTAGTGAGAGTCCATTGGATAGACCAAATGTATAATTTGTATAAAGAATGAGAATAAAAGCGGGCAGCACGGTGGTGCAACTGGTAGAGCTGCTGCCTCTCAGCGAGCAGGTCCCTGGTTCTAACCCCGGTTCGGGGGCCTTTCTGGGTGGAGTTTGCATGTTCTCTCCGTGCATGCGTGGGTTTTCTCCGGGTACTCCGGTTTCCTCCCACAGACCAAAAACATGCATGTTAGGCTGATTGGTAACTCTAAATTGTCCCTAGGTGTGAGTGAGAGAGTGAATGGTTGTTTGTCTCGTTTGTCTCTATGTGTCCCTGTGATGGACTTGCGACCCGTCCAGGGTGTACCCCGCCCCTCGCACAGTGATTGCCGGACATGGGCACCGGCGACCCCCGTGACCCAAAATGAAATAAGCGGGTAAATATAGTGGATGGATGAGAATAAGAGCTAATGAATTGTGATCTATGATTTATTGCAGTGTAAGCAGTCCTTTGCCTTATTGATGTTGCACTCAGTGATATTGTGGTGATAATAAATGTATGTGATATATTGTGCAGCACTATTCCAAGAATTTCAAAAATTACCTTTCTCAGATTGATGGGCAGCAATAGTTACTTCTTTAAGGTCACGCTGATGTTTTACTTCCTTCACATTCTGTTCTTTTCTGCTTGTGTTCTACTTATTTTAGTGTATGTTGTAGTAACTTGTGTTCTGGTTGTTTTAACATTACCAACTCGGCTTTTACATTAATAAAAAGATCAGGTCATGCAGCACTCTGCATTCATGCAGAATTTTAACAAATACAGCTTCTCTGAGTGGGGCAGAGGAAAACCAGCAGGTGTTTAACAAAGAATGGTCCTCTGTGATCTGTGATCGGAGGAGCAATTAAATTAAAATCACTAAAGTGTACGATATCTGGAGTAAAGAGGCTCAGACCTTGAGTGCCAGCAGGCTCTTGTTGATCTCTGCTCCTTCCAACCGAGTCTGTCGGTCAGCACTGGAAGTGTCCGCCCCTCGCTCATTCCCTGCCAGATCAATCAGGGAGAATTTTCCGTGCAGTTTCCCCCGCCGGCGCAAAATTATCTGGAACACAGCATGGCTCCGAGAAGAGTGAGCATTTGCTGACGTTTGTCCAGACGTCCTAAAGGATACAGAGTGATTTGTCACAATCAAACAGATTCTTCACAGTGGCTGAGAACCTCCTCTAAAACTTACCTGCAGCTGTTTCCCACTTCAATAAGCTTCAGGACATCCTCAGTGCATTTCACTTCCCTCTCCTGCAGCCCCACCACCTGCACCTGTTGCTTCCCATCCTCCAGAACCCGTAACTTGGCTTTACGGTTCAGAAGATCAAACACCTACAAACATAAATACAATTTTATATTATTTAAAACTGTATAAAAAAAGTTTTTTAATTACTGATTTTCAACTGAACAAAATCATATAACACTTTAGATGCAGGTCCACAAATTTGTTTGTGCTTCCTGCTAATATAAGTTCAGATTTGTTGTCAGACTTGTTTGTGATAAATCACTAACCTTTCCACTGTAAATCTCAAAGAACGTTGCAAAAACTTGCAGATCCATCTTCTTATTAGCTGGTTTCTTCAACATGACAAAAACATCTCTGGCTGCAGAGAACAAGAGTACTGCAGATGACATCTCCATCAATATAATTATCATACAGCAATCTATAGCAATGACCCAGACAAAAATGGAAAAGCTGATTAAATGAAAATCTATTATTAAAGACCTAGCATTCCTTGTAGGAATGCAAATCCCCCAAATGTAATAACTAAAAAAAATGCATCCTGAAATGTCTCTGTGACCTCTGATACTGCCGTACAAAATGTAAACTCCATTTCTGTAAAGCTGAATGGGTTTTTACAATTCTTCTGTTTGCTAAGAACACTTAGCCCTGGTGGCCATCTTGAATCAGACTGATTCTAAAAGTTAATCAGTTGTACATGTACATTCATTGATTATTCTCTGAGTTGAACTAAAATCTGTTAAGTGGATCCTAAGATATTTTGGTAAAAGACAGACAGAAACATACACAGAACTAGACAAATACATTAAATACAAATACACGTTTGCATTTCGGTGGCGGTTGATTAACCTGCAATAGAAATGAGACTGACCAGAGAGAGCATAGATCCCCTTCGAGCAGTCCTGGTTTTTTCCTGAAAAATCTCCACCCATAGTCTGAAAAGGGACATGTTACAACATGACAAGTGATACGTGAACATTGCTGGATAAAATTGTTCCTCTTAAAAATAACAGAAATCTGTCAGAATTGAACTGAAACACTATATTAAGCAACTAACCGTTCACAAGGCTTTTTACTTACAGGAAAATAAAATATAGCTTGTTTTCAGTACAAGCGCTGTGGGACCAGTGGCCCCAGTAGATCAAGTTTACATCAAAGTCTTCTGGAGGAAGTGGCACGAGCCAAGACGTGAGGGTCTCTACAAAGTGGTCTGAGCTACACCAATGACAGCCCAAGTCGAGGGAAGCTCAATTTGGTTCTGCTTCAAGTCACTGCATGAAAGTTCAATACAGAACCCAGGGCACTGTTGCTTGAAGATAAGCACTGAACATGATGACAAGAAAAAGGCAGAAAATGGCTGATGATTGTTTTTTTGTTTGTTTGTTTTTTACTAGAGGCATCGATGCTGAGAAAGCACAAAGTGAAGAAGGTGAAGACAACCAAAAATGGCCAAACACACACCGGCCGATTGCCAGAGCATTTGTCAAGGCAGCTGCCAGAACCAAAAGACAAGTCACCAAGCTCAAGTTCAGCCTTCTCAATAACGTTTTGAGTAGGAGGTTAACGGCTCAGAGTAGGAGGCTAGAGTCATTTCTCAGCATCAACACGTAGATGTTCTGTGCGGAGAAGACATTGGTAGACGCACACCGTTTAAACGCTGATCACTGATGAAAATGTCTTACCAGCATTGCAAACATGAAGAGTTATGAAGTCATAATCAGCAGCTGTCAATCAATTTTGTAGACCGAGATAACACATTTTCAAGAATCTAATAAAGAATTATTTCACAATGAATTTTTCTTTATTCTGTATCTTGCAGCAGTCCCAGATGAATGCATGCAGCTCAAAAACTTCACTTTGTTTTCTGTAACTAGACAAGATTTTGAAATCTGATTGACATCATAAGCATCATATTGTGTACAGTAGTCCCTCGCTACTTTGCGATTCGATTTTCGCAGACTCGCTCTATCGCGGTTTGTGGAAGTCAAAAATATTGCACAATTTTTTTAACATGTGATTGTGGACTGTACAGTAATATCACTGTACAGAACTCATGTGGATGTGAAAAAGTTAATGACAAAAATAATAATAATTCGGACAGGTACAACCATTTTGTAGTTTTCTTTCATTCAGCCTCCAACTGTACTGTAATCGCCACTCAGAAAGACTACATTTCCCTCAAATCAGTGCTCTGCTGTACTGTGCACAGTATCGGGTTGAAGCAGTCCAGCTCAAAATACAGAAGTTCAAAACTCAGAAAAGCTGTTGTTTGTAGCGGTCTGCAGTTCCAGTTTGGAAAAAAAAAAACAGTTAATAATACACCACCCCTTGTCCTTGGAGCATTAAAAAAAAGACAATCCACCGGCAAAAGTTCAGAAAAAAAACATTTAAATCACCAGGGAAGAGCCAGATCTCTGTAACAAACAGGAAATCCAATCTGCTGGAGTAGAAATTGTCGTTCAAGATAAATGTTTTATTTGCCAGCGACCTCACATTTAGCAGTGCAATCCTTGTTGGAACAGTATTCTTGCTTGGGCTCGGTGGAAGCCAGACGCATCCTCCTCTGCTCCGTCTCTGCTTTGCTCTTTTGTGACAGAGCTCAACCGAGCTGACTGATAAACAAACATCTTTTATTAGGACAATGGCTGGGGGGGGGGGGGGTGGCTCTGGACTGTGCTGTGCTATGACCTTCTCTTCAAACTCAATGCCTCCACTGGCATATGTATTATATGTCTTCTATCTATTTATTTTGTTTTTTGTGCTGAGGTCGTTTCTGATCTCCCCTTTCCTCATGTTGTCACTTTCCTTATCTAAAAAGGTGATGCTGCCCAAGTGGCTGCAACCTAGTCTCTCTCTATGCATGTCTTTCTTTTGTTAATGCACTTTGGTAACAGTTCCTGTTTTAAATGTGCTATACAAATAAATTTGACTTGACTTGATTTGACAGTAGCTGAAGGAAAAGTTGAGTGTGGAGCGCAGATCAGCAGTTTCAGATTTTTGGAGTTGGACCCGCACCTCCGAGGATTGGAAACACCATGGTTGCAAGCAGGTCTGCTGTACGGACCAGGCCCAACCACTGTATCAGTCAGTACTCAACAGGATCAATGAAACACCCTGATGGGCGATTTCCAGCTGATGGTCGGCAGGAGATGATGCAGCAGACAGTCCCATGTTAGTTTTAATCCTATGGAGATGGCCGGAAACACCATGGCTGTGCACACTTGCTGCACGGACCAGGCCTGACCACCTGTATCAGGCAGGATTCGACAGGATCAATTAAGCACTCAGATGGGCAATTTTCCAGCTGATGGTCAGCAACAGATTATGACGCAGCAGAAATTGCGATGCTGGCTTTGATCTTCACAAGACGGCAGGCACGTCTTCCATGGCACCTGGAGCGATGTTTTCAAGCAGGCAGAAGTGCTGCACGTCACAAGTAAACAGTGTAGTGAGCTAAGGCGTTAACTTCACTACTAATTAATTATTCTTAAAGCTAGTTCAAGCACAAAGAATATTAATTGTTTAATTACAACGGATTAGTTTCTTTTTCGAGTTAAACTTCTGTTCTGTGACCGAGATAATTTGTGAGTGGATTGTTTAATCAGTGACGTGAGACGCCATTTTATCTTTGACCCATCAGAATAAATGCGGTCATTTATTTAACAGAATCAAAATTTAACATCAAAACATGTACACATTGATTTGCTGATCTGTTTCTGATTAATAAACTTTGCACGCTTTACTAACAAGACAACAGAACATTACTGATTGAGACTGATTCATCTCTGAAGGCATCTAGTTTGATTTACTGGCGAATAGAGAGTTAAGAGAGGAGAAATAGATTAAAGGAGGAAGTTTTAGATGGATGAAAGTTATGTGTTGAACCAGCACATGGCACCCTTCCTCCGACATCCAGCTCAGCTTTCCGGTACACTTCAGGATGTCAACGGCTTGTTACCTGAGATGGTGGATACCTCCACTCCGGAACAGAAGTCCATTAGTATGCTCCTTTTTCAGCATCTCCGGTTAAAGTAGCTGGGGGTCATCAGAAATAGTGACCAAGTACTCGGTTCAACCGAATAAGCTTCCTTAGAAGTGGAGCATTTACTGCTCGGGTTGAGTCACAGCCGAGGCAGGCTGTGACTACGCTGAACTGGAGAGACCTTTGGCACATGGTCAAATCCATCCGCTACTTAGTTGAGTCTCATCTCTGACTGAAAGTTCCAGCAAGACTGGAAAAGACTAAGACTTCGAAGAAGACCAAGACTGAGACTGAGTTCCAGGACTCAGAAGACTCCAAGACTGAATAGTTCCAAGAAGTGTTGCCTTTTAAAGGGGTATCCACTTCCTGTTAAGTGGTACTTCCTGATTGGTTGAAACAACCAGCAGGGGTGTGGTTCTAGTGATGTCAGAGGGTCACTAGAAGTCAAGAGAGGATGCAGGAATGTTTAAGAACAGTTAGTACAGACAGAGAAATGTTAATGAAGAGGTGAGACAAAGCAGGTGCCAGCAGAAGTTATTTACTGTCTGCGAGTTTTAAAAACAAAACACTTCGTCCTCATAACTTGTCTCCATTTGCTCTGACTTTCGACCAGCATCCACTACTACTCCTCATTCAGACAGAAGACTAAATGCACACTTACTTCGTAAATAGGCATTTAACTGTATGATCAAAAATCTAATGAGGTTTAAAAATCATTAATACTGTTTCACAGTTGATTTAAATTAGTGGTTCACGTCAACATTTAGAAATAGTATGAACTAAACACACTTTTGATTATCAAGATATATTAAAATAGTACTAATGATGTAAAAAGAAGAGTGTTCTTTCAATTGATTAATTCAGGATACAATTAAATAGTCTCTTGATGAGATAATTTGTATTTCTGGATTCAAATCAATGAAATAACAGTTCCTATCCCCTGAAGGTCTTCAGAGACAGATTGTTGTCTGAGGCCTAGTTCATTACAACAGGTACATCAACAAGCAGCAGGGGTGGGGGTCCAGAGCCCCTATCATAGTGGTCGAACAAGGTGAAGTTGGTGGCAGATAATTGTAGATTTTAAAAGTTGTTGGTGATCATAAACCAGCAGTGAGTTGATGTCACAGAAGAAAAATGACAAAAACAGAAAGAAAGAAAAAACCTATCACAACAGACAGAGGTGAACGGTCAGCCACGAACATCGGCACCATCTTCCCGGAAGTAAGAGAAAACTTGACCTGTTAGAGTGTGGACTTGTGTCCATACTTGTCCTGTTCATCAGTGAGCTTGTTTCCACACTTGTCCAGGCAGTGGACCATAGTCAACACTTGTCCAGTTAGACAGTGGACATGTCCACATGTCCTGTTAGACAATGGATTTTCGTCTACACTTGTCCTGTTATAGGGTAGACTTGTGTCCACACTTGTAATGTTGGACAGTGGCCTTTTGTCCACCATTGTCCTGTTAAACAGTGGACTTGTCTACACACTTGTCCTATTACACAGTAAACATGTCCTTACTTGTCCTTTTACCCAGTGGTCTTGTGTCCACACTTGTCTTGTTACACAGTGGACTTCTCTCCACACTTGTCCTGTTAAAGAGTGGACTTGTTTCCACATATGTCTGTTTAGATAGTGTACTTGGGTCCACACTTGTCCTGTTAGACAGTAGATTCTGTCTATACTTGGCCTGTTAGGCTGTTTTTGCACCTACACTGCACACCCACTGTACAAGTATGACATTGACACACTTGTGGAGTTTTGTGTGTCGCTGCCTTGCCATTGTGCCATTGTACCATTGTGCCATCATGCCATCGTGGTTCAGTTCCTGAACCCCCTCCAGCCTCAAGCTCAGGCTCCAGTCTGTCATAGTGGCCGTCTCTATGATCCTCCATCTACTTGCATGGACCGAACTCTACGGACCCGTTAATTTTTGCGGATAAACCTTGGATGTTCTCTGTCCATCAAACCTGGTTCTAAAGGCAGTCTGGAAGGGCAGTCTGGAAGGGCAGTTGCAGCGGTCATTATTACCATCAAGCTGCTGACGGGGCCTGCTAGCGAGATCTGCTAACGCTGCTAACAGGATCCTCCATATGCCTGCATGGACCGAACTCTATGGACCCGTTCGGTTCTGCGGGGAAACCTTGGATGTTCTCCGTCTGCCGGACCCAGTTCTGGAGGGCAATCTGGGAGGCATCTGCTGTGGTCCTCATTATCATCAAGCTGATGATGGGACCTGCTAACAGGACCTGCTAGCACTTCTAAAAAAAACATGCCACTAAACAAACCACACCGCTAACAGTACCATGGTGCCAACGCAACCATGTTGCTAAGAGAAACGTCACTGCTAACCAAACCTCACTGCTAACAGTATCATGCTACAAACTGGACCATGTTTCTAAGATAACCTCACTGCCAGCAGAACCACTCTGCCAATAGGAACATGCTGCTGTAGATTTATTTCTTTTTCACTTTTGGCACCTTGATTTGTATTTTTCTTGCATGCTTTGATATTTGCTGTTGCTTTTTTGGCGAGTCGAGACAGTTCTTCTCGTCCTGAGCATTTCATTGTATTGTTTACCTTGTGTAGATTTTATGACAAATAAACCAAACCTCCTGAGACTGTTGACTTGTGCCCATACTTGTCCTGTTAGTCAGTGGACATGTTTCCAAACTTGTCCAGACAGTGGACTTGTGTCCACACTTGTCATATTGGACAATGGACTTGTGTCCACACTTGTCTTGTTAGACTACTTAGATTACTGTCTCAGTGATGCATTTAATATAACAGATCAGAGATGGATATGATATTAAGATTACAAAAAAACAGCTCTTTAATGTTTTAACTCATATTTATCTGATAGATTTTAGTTTATTCATGTTAATAATGAATTGACTAATGAAATCAGTGCTTTTACAAATACTCATTACATTATATTTACTTTTATTTGGTTATGTTGTTAGACAGTAGGAGATTCATTGATATGCTCATGATATGTTATTATATTTTTCCATGAAATATGATTAATCTAATCGCTTACTTAATTTACTAGCTTGTCTTAGAGACATAAAAATGGATGACATTAAATACTCTGTTTTTAAAGTCAGAAACAGCAGGGGGCATAGTTTTTGTATCTTGAGCATCTTAGTAACAAACTTTGCAGCCTTTCTCTTTCTCTGGATGGACTTAATTTGGCTTCCAGTTGTAATGTAAAAACCTTGGTGTTACTTTTTGTCAGGATATGTCATTTACTCCCACATTATAAATATTACCAGGACCTCTGTCTTCCACCTGAACAATATCACTGAAATTTGAAACATATTGTCCCAAAATTATGCAGAAAAACTGGTCCAAGCATTTATCACTTCTAAACTGTGGGAAGCTACGCCCAGGGGAGCGGATGTTGGGGTTGGGGGCCTTGCTCAGGGGCACAGGGTGGAGCAAATGAGGGTGGAGGCAGGTCTGGGTTCTTCACCTTTCCCACCCACATTTTGATGTTGTCGGTCCAGGAAGTCGAGCCAGCGACCTTCTGATTACAGGCTCGCCTTCTTTAACCTCTGCTCCACCACTCCCCCCTGGTTCCCTGGGCACTGGCTCTATATAAACACAATACATTTAACTGAATTGACAACTAAACCAAATCCAAACTCTAACCATGTTGAACTCAAACACTCACGTGTGTTTTTCCACTTCCTGTTTGTCCGTATGCAAAGCAGGTTGCCATTCCTCTCTCAAATATAGTTTCAACCAGCGGCTGAGCTGTGAACCTACAGCAGAGGAGGATGTTTTTAGTATCAGATATAGGCTTAGTTTAGGGGCAGGCAGGAAAAAAATAAATAAATACCTGTAAACCATTTCATTGGTGGAGTTCTCATCAAATGCGTAATCAAATCGGAATGTCTGGTTCTCCAAGTAGCGGGTCAGGTCAACTTTCTGCTTTGGTTCATGGACCATGACCACGTCTTTACTAGGAATGGTGATGACATCCAGATCTTTCACTGACAACTCTACACAAACAGAAACAACAGCTTGTTTTACATTTAAAACAAGCTTCAATGAAAATGCACAACATCAAATCTACATTTTTTTTTTGTCTTCTATTAACATTGAGTATCAGCAAACAGGCAAAAACCCATATGGGTTTACTTAAATTTAGCCTCTTATACATTGTAAAGCCTGGTCTGTCCTGGACAGGCCACAGTCCCAGAAGACCAGGTTTTGTTTGCTTTCAGTAGAGTGCCACCTCGATGTGGGTGAGCAAGGTCGGCCCAAGCCTCCATGGGGCCCTAAGCGAAATTTGATTTGAGGTCCTCTATTTTTGCTAATAATGTGGATTACTGCAATCAACGGTCAGATGATCAGATCATTCACTCACCTAAATAAACTCATTGCAACTCTGACAGCCCTGTTTGGGCAGCAAGATTGCAGTAAGATTGTAATTTTTCTGCAGCAAAATGAAATCATGTAGGTGGTTGGCTGTCAGTGTGAACTGGTTTTTAAGCAAATATTAGAAGACTTATCAAGAATTCCAGCTTCACATTTTTTCAAAACCATAATGAGATAAATGTGACTCAAATTTTCACTGAAGTGTTTCTTGATCTAATAGTTTATTGGTTTGCTTCCTACTCAAAGCAACTTTCTCACTCACAGTGTAGTCCAATCCCACCAGAAAAATAAAAAATAACATAAAAACACAAGGCAAATTGTTGTAAAGTAGGCAGTAGTTCTATGCATTTGTTAGATGTACCCACAACAAGAATAAAAACAAAAAAAATCTATCTGACTAATTAAGGCCTGGAACCTTCATCAGTTTAAGCAAACAAGGGGTGTTTCCCCTCACTGAGGGGTTTGAATAGTGAATGTTTGTAATTTTGGAGACAAGTATTTTTCTGGACTGGAATAGAACAGGGAATGCAAGTAAACATTAACTCACTGTCTAAAACTCAACTTACACTAAAACTTTTTTTTTGTTT